GTTAGTCTCGGTAAGCGTGGCTGTAGGTATCATCCGTAGTGCTGCATTAACATCATCGAGCAGACCTGAGGATACTTCTGCTACACTGCAGTAGTGACGTCGTGGTAGGAAAGCTCCACTTTACACAGTCTGCATTTGTTTACTGTGAAATGTTTTCACTTTTTAAATCTGTTTCCATTTCCTTCTTTCTTCGTTTTGCCGTTCTCGCTAGTTTCTTCTTTGTTAGTATTGAGTGCAGTCTTAGCAGAATATAGCTTACTGCAAGTACAAGAAACACACTTGTGGGTTTTTTTTTAGAATAAGTTGTGTCGACAATAAAATTCCGCGTCGACGAATTTTTATGATCGACGTCGTCGATTATAACGACGAATTGTTGCAGCCTTAATGTCATATTTTACTTTTGTGCAAATGTTATATTGTAATGGCAAATTATGTCAAATCAAGGACAGATACAAGTAATTAAATAAAAATTATTTTATTCATTTTTTTAAATAAATGCATTTTTACAGTCAGAAAACAGAACAGCAGGACATGCACTGCTACTCTTGACACTGAAGGCAAACAAAAAGTCAGAGAAATTAAAAATTAACAGAACAGTTTTTGCTTACCTCTGTTCTTTTTTCTTTTTTTTGCTGATTTGTCTCTCCTTCATATGGACATTATTAAATTGCACACTTCAGTTGTGTCAAATACCAGACAAATAGTAAGTAGTGAAGTAACCTAAAATGGCATAGAGTCAAACTTGCAGCAAAAAAAGCACATCAATGACAATGTCAGTTCTTTTTTTTAAATGAGCTAAAAATGACAGAGCTACAAATGGAAATGTAGAAGAGAAAGCAGAAATGGGGGGGAGACAGGGCACAGTGAAAAAGGCTTGTGTATCTGTATTTTAGAAAAATATATATACTCAACAGAACTTCTTAACCAAACCTGGAGTTTGAGACTAGTGTTATCTTCATATATATTCACATATATCTTCATCTGAAACTCAGTAAGACTACAACATGAGCAGGCACATTTACTACACGTGTTGACAGATGGCTTACCTGCAAACCCCCAAAATGCAGAAAAACAAAACAAAACTGTACAATTCTATAAAAATGTTTGTGTTTTTTTTTTTACATTAGTTACAAAAAAAATACTTCATTTACTGATCCTTCATACTGAGGACAGAACAAAAAAAGTTTGCATATTTATTTTTTAAACTCTGTGACCTTTTGCTGGTGTGTACTGATAATAACGATAACAACAACAATAATAATAATAGTAATAATACTATATGGTGTGACAAACAAAACAGCGTTAATGTAAAAGCCAGTACAAGGGATATGTGATAATGTCCCTCCTGTTATGTAGTGTACACGCACTACGCTATGAGACATCAGTGGTTTCAGATCTGAGGATGCCGTTCAAAGCTGACCTAAAACTGACCTAAAACTGTGGTCAGAAAAAGAGCCATAAACAGATGTGTTAATGCTCTCTGGCACAAAATCTGTGCACTTTAAGCTTTGTCTAAACAGAAGACTGCTTACAGTTTGGAAAATATAAAAAGACATCATGTTTTAAAGGCATGTTAATTACCTTAGTTGAACATTCTAACTGAAAATTTTTACACCTTGCTTTAAAAAAACCTAGTAGGTGGTTGTAGTCAGCACTACACTCTATCAACATTTCTGCAGCAAGGACATTTACATCATCCGGAAACCAGATAACTCGAACCCACTTGATGCTCATGCTGTCGCACTGAACTGTAGTGTGCTCTCATTTTTAGCGGTCTATTAAATACAGAGTACATCTCACAATATCAAACCTGTCAGCTAAAACATAATCAACAGAGCGACTCAACAGCAAGGACACAAGTTGTGAGGCAACGACAGAAATCAGAAGCAAAAAAATAAACGGAAAGTTCAGGACAGCTTATTCATAAACAGGACTATATACTGCACAAGTGCACTTACACGTGACTTCAAAGAAAAACCTTTCACAGAGTGGACAGGATGGACATGCAGATCTGATCGACTGACCTCTGCTGTTATAGATGCTCTTGATAACCACCTTTTAGGATGAGTAACTGTAGGTCCCTGAGGCACTACAATTACATTTTTATCTACGTTTTTATGTCAGCCTCTTTAGTCCAGTTCCAAAAGAGAGAGAAAAAAGGAAAGTGAAAAAGAATAAGTGGGGAAAAAAAAGATTCTTTGGGATTTATTCTGATGTTTGAA